TATTTTCAGGCACAGGAGTGAAACAATTTATCACCATCTCTCTTAGCATATAGTGAAGTTTCATCAAGATATTCAAAACTGTTTACTAGATGAAAGTAAATAGTAATTGATTGTTAAAAATTTGCTCCTTATCTGATTCATACTGTAGAGCACAAGTGGCTTGTATTTTTTCAATACTAGAAACACAACCCCCCTACAAGAGAACTGCAGAAAAACTTGAAGACTCTAGTCCTACACAATTACAGCTGCAAGTGTGCATTCAAAAACTCACAAAAGTAAACCAAAATAGCAAGCTTTTGTCTCCCCTTTTCATCTCTTGCACAATATGTTTTATAACAACCGCTGAGAATGCAATAGGAGAAAGACGGCTAATCATCTATAAGGCAAAAAAAAAAAAAAAGACAACGCTGCATTTATAATTTTCTTTTCCCAACAGTTTTTGTGCAAGTGATTTTGCTAAATATCATATTTCCATCCTAATACAATTATATCATTCAATTCAACAATGAATTAGAAATATTTTCTGATATTTATACATTTAAAAGTTAAATCATCTTCAAAAGTTTCTCGTTGAACTCATATACTGATTGAATTATGTTTTCTTTAATCAGCTAAGGTCCAGTCAGCTAATTCTGCAAAGACTTTTCACAATGGGTTAATGCAAACTCATGTTCAAATCTTTCCAGGATGGAGACCTAGAGTAATAGTGTTTAAGATGACTAGCTCTCAGTTCTTTTTCCTTTGAGTATAGAGGAAATAAGATTATTTTGTAGAGCAATAACCTGATTTTAACCATGACAATACAAAAATCTAATTGTAAAGGTAGCAGGACAAGAATTCAAGAGTATAAACACTGACAATTGCATATTAAGAAAATTTATTTTTTCATGGGCTACACAAACGCAGCTTCATATTTGATGCCAGAAATTACACTCTCAGAAACCTGTTGATCAAAACCCAAAGGTATACTACATGGCGTAGGCAGATCACTGAACAGTAAATACTAGTAGCATCACTTTGTGGGTGTTCAACATTCAGCATGTTTAAAATGAGTGACAAGCTGACATGGATGAACAGGAGGTAAAAAAGGAAAAATTATAGAATCGTTTGAGTTGGAATGGATCCTTAAAGGTCATCTAGTCCAACTCCCCTGCAACAAACAGGGACATCTACAGCTACATCAGGTTACTCATACCCCATCCAGCCTGACCTTGAATGTTTCCAAGGATAAGGCTAACACCACATCTCTGGGCAACCTGGCCCAATACCTCACTACTCTTATTGTAAAAAAAAAATAATAATAATTTTATAACCAATCTAAATTTCCCCTCTTTTAGTTCAAAATCATTTCCCCTTGTCCTGTCACAGCAGACTCTGCTAAAGAGCCTGTCCCCTTCTTTCTTACAATCCTCTAGATATTGAAAGGATGTTATCAGGTCTGCTCAGAACCTTCTGTTCTCCAAGCTCAGCAGCCCCAGTTCTCTCAACCTGCCCATGTAGGGAAGGTGCTCCATCCCTTGGATCATTTTTGTAGTCCCCCTCTAGACATGCTCCAACAGCTGATCATGCTTCTTTTGATGCAGCCCAGGATGCAGTTGGCCTTCTGGGCTGCAAGGGCACATTTCTGGCTTATGTCCAGCTTGCCACCCACCAGTATCCTAAGTCTTTTTTAGCAGGACTGTGCTCTATCCTTTCATCCCCCAGCTTGTATTGGTAGTAGATGCTGCCTTGACCCAGGTGCAAGACTTGGCTTTGTTAAACCAGGTTCTCTCTGGGCCCACTGCTCAAGCCTGTCTAGGTCCCTCTGGATGGCATCCCTTCCCTCTGGTATGTTGACTGCACCCCACAGCTTGGTGTCATCAGCAAACTTGCTAAGGGCGTACTCAACCCCTGTCGATGTCATTGATGAGGATGTTAAAGACCACCGGTTCCAGTACTTAGCCATGAGGGACACCACTTGTCACTGATCTCCATCCTAACATTGAGCCATTGACCACCACTCTCTGGGTACAATCTTGCAACCAGTTCCTCGTCCATCAAACAGTCCACTCATCAAATCCATATTTTCAATTTAGAGAGAAGGATACTGTGGGATATTGCGTCAAAGGCCTTACTGAAGTCCAAACAGATGACATCAGTGGCTCTTCCCTTGTCTACTGATACAGTTACAACATCATAAAAGGCCACAAGGTTGGTCAGGCAGGACTTGCTCTTGGTGAAGCCATGGTGGTTATCCCGTATCACCTCCCTGTCTTCCACATGCCTTAGAATAGCTTCCAAGAAGATCTGCTCCATGATCTTCCCCAGCATAGAGGTGAAGCTAACAGGTCAGTAGTTCTCTGGAACATCCTTTCCACCCTCTTTAAAAACTGGTGCAATATTGCCTTTTTTTCCCCCACTCACCAGGGACTTCACTTGACCACCATGACTTCCAATATCATCAAGAGTGGCTTGGCAACTATTCCCATGAAAATAAATAGGAGGTGTTACTTTCAGAGAGACCTATGTACACGAGCTAAGAACTAAGAAATCTTTTTTTTTCTCCAGTCTGGTAGGTACTATGGAAACAATGGTGTTATGGTATTGGATCCAATATCAGTAGTTTTTCACTATGTTTCCTGTTCACTGTCTTGAAGACAATGAAGAAAATTCTCAACTGAGGATGAAATGGGATAGATAAAGCTCTGAATTCAGTTTAAACATTATCGACAGGGTCTAAGGTGGCATGTAATTACATTTACAAATAACTAAAATAGCTGTGGGTTTTTTTTTTTTATATATATTATCTTCTCAAGATCTCCTTTTTCCAATATAACACTTGAACAGAATATCCTGAAAAACATTTTGGATTTTCTTAAGTACTAATTTATTATTATTATTATTTTAGTTAAGGACAGCAAGTGTAATTTCTTTCATTTTTATCTATTTAAACTTGTGCTTTAATGATATCCTTTCAGTGAAATTTTTGCCAAAATAATGCTGCAAATTAATAGTTAGTTAGATGTTGCATTCATGCTTAAATTACTACATTATGCATCATTAAAACACAGAAGCTTCTTGCAAATGAAAACATGCCTTTTTCTGTGTGTGCCTTACTTTCTGCTTAGGAGCCTTTTGTATGTATGCCTGAGAAAAAGAGTATGCTTGAAATGAGAATCTTTTACATGAACAAACAAATATTCGTATGCATATCCATATGCACATAGGTTACTCCAAAAGTAATGCCTCCTATTTATTTTCATGGAAACCACAACAGGTACAGCGAGCAGAATAACATTATTTGATAGAGCAAATTCTCAGCTACAAAAGGCTATTTTTCAACATAATCACCACCATTAGCTATGTATTTCCACCAGCAATAAATAAAACCCTGCATGCCACACTCATAAAAATCTGCACCAGCAGAAGTGACCCACTGTTTCACAGCTGCTATGACAGTATCGTTGCTAGGAAAATGTTGCCCATGCGGTCCATCTTTAATCAGTCCAAACAGATAGAAGTCAGAAGGTGCCAAATCTGGACTATGCAGTGGGTGTGGTAGGACTCACTGATGGGAAATGTGCTCCACAGTCTTCAAATTGCTGTGGAGCATGGCGCTATCATGTTGAGAGCAAAAGGCTGTCTTCTCTGGCCTGATTCTGGAAGTCTGAGCCTTTAGCTTAGTCAGCATCACGGTACAGAAAACAGAGTTGGTGGTTAGTTTGAGTTTGAGGAAATCCAGAAGGATGATTCCTTTCCTATGTAAAGTGCACATCACACATTACTGGCTGAGGGCTGCATCTTGATCAGTTTCATCTTTGAGGAATTCACAGGTCACCACTGCATAGACCTGTCTTGACTCCAGCTCATAGCGGTGACACCATGTCTCATCACCAGTACTGATGCAATCCAGGAAACTGTCACCTTCAGCCTCATATTGGTTCAATAGGCCCTGACAAACCTGCATACAGTGTTCTTTCTGTTTCTGTGTGACCATTCATGGGACTCACCTGTCCCAAATTTTGTGATATTCCAATGTTGCCACCATCGTTTCCAACACACTGAAGCTGATATTTAGCTCCGTACACAGTTCACTGTTCATAATCCGCTGATTCACATGGATGAGCTGATTGAGACACTCTTCATTTTGCAAAGTGACAGCTATCCATGGCTGTCTGGAACATGGCTTGTTTTTCACATTGCTGTCACCACTGCTGAACTGCACCACCCACCTCCTCACTGTGCTCACATCCACTGTTGGGTCTCCATAAATGTTCAGCAAGCATCAATGAATACGGGTACAATTTTTTCCCACATGGAAGAATTCAATTAGATACCCCTTTGCTTCGTATACACTTCCATGCCAGACACCTTTTTGTCAGACTGCCCCTCTGCTGCCATCAATCACACAGCAACAAAATGTGATGGAATACTGGCAGGAAGGTTCACCTTCTACTGTCATACCACCAACATCTGCCTCTGATGTTGTAGGCCAACATAATAACATAGGAGGCATTGCTTTTGGAGTAGCCCTTGTACTCTCAAACCAGCCTCAGTAATTTAACCTCTAAAGTAAAAGCATTAAAGGAAAAAAGTAATCTGAAATTTATACTAATACATTTGAAAAGCCAAATTCAGTCTTTCTGTGACTATGCACTGCTATATCCTAAGTAAATCTGATTTTCTTTTCTTTAAACATTTTGCAAGAAACTGTATTATACAATACAAACTAAACATGTTGAACATCCTTTTCAGCAAGAGGTACAGCACACATGGACATCTAGGAGATCGAGTCACTTACCTTTTCGAAAACAAAAATTTCAGCGCTGAAATTTTTGTTTTCTTCCATCATTTCCTCCTCTTCGAGAGTTTGCTCATCATCATAATCATGAACCAGCATTTCAGCAGAAGGGTCAAAGTCATGATCCTCAGATGATAAGGAGCCAACTATTAAAAAAGCCCCATATCTGAATCATTTTTTCTACACCACCATACAAAGTCACATCAGAAAAAAAATAAGGTTACATGAATTCTTTTGCAAACAGGGTCATAACTCTCAATGGAATAACTGGAACAAACTCCTAACTACCTGACAAATTCAACTGTTTTAGGTGGCCTTCTCTTTCCATATTTATAAGTAACAGGCACAGTTTTCTCTCTTACAACATAATGTAAATACCTGGAAGAACTACATAAACTACTGAAATAAAGTTTCAGAAAGTACAATCTCAAATGAGTATTTTTCTAGCTAAAAGATTGTTCAAAGCATCCTTGAAATCGTAATTAAGTCCAATGGTTTTATGATTTTCGGTTATCGGTATTCCACATCATAACATCATGTAGGGCACTGGGAGTAAAACAATGCTCCGAGTCCGAGTACCTGTCTGGAAGAGAAGAACAACTACATATCTCAGGGGGCTTTGCGGTCAGAGAGGACATACAACCCCTGGCAAGGTCACCTGATGCCTCTTCTTCATCAGGCTCTCCTCCCTGCTGCTCAACTGGACTGCGCATCTCACCTCAGCATTATGGTGAGGCCTATCTACCTTTCGGACACTTTCTCTCATTATATCTGATTTATTAGCTTCAATTCTAATTACATTGTATTATAGTGTGTTATCTTGCATTCCAATACCATCTTTAGTAAATTAGTTTGTTTCTCCTCATATCATTGACGCTGTTTTTAATTATTTTGGGGTGCCCTGTTTCCCTTTTCTGGACGCTGCTTCACCCTGCTAGTCATGGAACTGGGCCAAACCAGCCCATAAACCACTGACATTAAGGCATACACATCACAAGATTTCTGATGCTGCAAGAATGCCAGCTTTACCGCACAAATCAAGAGACTGTGATTTATTGTCTCTGATTCTATTTATAATGATTTATACAGTAACTAAGCTATTTTTTTCTACTGATAAATGATTAACTGAAGTTTATGCATCAATTTCCTAACAGCAAAATAAACAGTGAGACTCACTTCAGATTAGTTTACTCTCACAAATGAGATGTTTTACTAAAACTAGCTTAACTCTCAGCATTTGATCCAGAAAGAAAAATAAACATGGCAGAGCCTCAAAAAATATAGAGGAAAATATACTGGAAATAACTAAATGCTTCTAAAGAACCACATTAATTAACAAGTCATAATGACAACTTTATGGTCCAATAGACACTTTTTCACTACTCAAGAGGATACTTGCAAGTCATCAAGTACTGCTATTTTACATGCACTTTTTCAACTGTTAGAAAGGTTATCATTAGATTCAAAAAGGTTTTAAAGGTGCAAATATTCTGCACCACAAAGTCAGCGATACACAATGAAAGTTACTGAAATACGGGGTTGCTTTGTTTTTTAATGGTTATTTTTCTCAATCCTGAAAGCCTTAAGAAAGTAAACAAATTAGGATATTTTTCTTTAACTTCTAGTTTCCTCTTCTAGTTCTTACATACTATTGTTCTGCTGCAATCCTTGGTTTACCAGCAGCAGAAAGGTTTATTAAAAATTATTTCCACGTGATTCCTACAAATTTACAATCCTCTTCTTAAAAAAAATAATAAAGCAGTATCCCTTGTTGTATTACTTCTAGCCTTCAGAAACACTAGTATATGTTAACACTTGTGAATCTTAGAGCATCTAATTAATTTTTCACTGATTATGTTGTGTTTATTCCTTAAATGCAAGTAATTAAACTTTGCCCACTTAGCTTGCTTAAGACAATATCGAGCAAGTTCATAATACCATACCATGCAGAAATATTCAGGCTTAAAATGCTTTTTATTCACATGCTATTAATATTATGGTCTCACATAGCTCTCAGCATAGCTGATAATACTACCTCATTTACAATAATTATACATTGAATTTTTCTGCTGTTGGCTATTACATCCTGATCCCATAGCTTTTCAAGAACTGTGAGCTGTCCTGATCTAGTATGTGTATATATATTATTGCTTCTAATTGTTGTTCTAATTCATTTTGAATAACTGAAGTGGAAGGCCTACGCAACTCTCATACAAAAAGATACATTCAGTGGCACTCGATATCCAATTTAAAAACATATTCAAGTAATATGAGCTCATTGAATTTAGTAAGAGCAGTTAAAACAAACAGTTAATACAGAAAGCAGTTACACAGAAGTGAATGCACTCCTCAAATACTTGTCCATAAGTAGCTCTATTGATGTTAAACATGCTCACTTGTGTGAAGTATTCCAATGAACCTTAACAGAGCTTCAAGCCTTAATGGTTGTATATCGTTGTGATTTAAAATGCTTTCTGATATTACCAAGAATTAAAAAATTCATACAAGACTGTAGTTATCAGCATCAAGCAAGTCCCTCTCTCCTGATTTAAAAGCACTTCAAAACTTGGCTTTCATTTTGTGCTGCAAGTAGCCAGTTATTAATTGGGACTGGAGCTAAGGAAAGAACTCCACAGCACATGCAGGTGACACATTAGGTGACCGTGACACATTAGAAAAACTACAAAGCAAGAAGATACAGCTGTGTAAAGGAATAGGAGAGAGGGTAGCATGCAGGTAGGGTGCCAGGCAAGAGCCGGCAATGACAAACCTGGACTCGAACTCCCAAAGGATGCCTGCAGGGAAAGCAGAGCCAGGTGAAGTGTGAAGTTCTTGTAGTCTGGAACAAGGCACCTCACCCCGCAGCATGTAGGGTTCACGATTTTACATCCCCTCCTCTCTGTGACCAGAGCTTCCTCCTTCTCCCACCATTCTCTTTCTGTTGCTCCCCCCACACAGGCTGCTAACATTACCCCTAGTCCCCATCTCTCTGCTCATCCCACCATCCCACTTACCCTCTCCTATTCCTCCTTCCCTCATCCACTCTGTCGCTCCGCTTTCCTCCTCCCTTAGTAAAATCCAACCAGGAGCTGCAATCGGACTGACCCAGTGTTCCTCCGTCCTCCATTCCCAGCGGGACATGGCAGCAGCAAGCAGCGACAGAGACAGACCGACTGGCCGCCGCCTCATTTCCACTCCCATCCCAAGGCTTGCTTATTCTCCCGCCCGCCAAGCACTTCTCCATAGCACTGCACTAGCAGCGCAGCCGGTCCAATTCGGACCGCAGCACAGCCGCCGTGTCCCCTACCGCAGCCTGTCAGCCACCCGCAGCCTCCAAACCCGAGGCCCGCGCTGCACGGCGCTTGCCATGCGGCCTAGTCCTGCAGGCACCTGGAGCCAGTGGCTCCAACGGCCACCCTGCTAGTCCCTCGCCCCGCTAGCCCACCCTAGAAGTGCCTTACGTGGACGTGAAAAACCAGGCGGTGTCAGAGCCCCTAGAAAAAACCGTCCGAACTCCGACACCCCAACCCTATTTCCCCGCTCACCTCCGCCATATTTGGACACCCAGGCTGAGCAACAGAGCTAGCAACGAGTGCCCGGATGAGGCCGCTAAACCAATGGCAGTCGCCGAGTAGGAGCCGGCCGGGGAGGAACCAGAGAAGGTGGCGGGACGGGTGGATGGCGGCGGCGGCGGCGGCGGCGCTGTGATCCCGGGACCCCACCTCCGGCGGCACCTCAGCTGCTGAGGATGCTTAGCACGTCCTGGATTTGCCCGGCGTGGAGGGGGTACTCGGCATAGGCCTAAAAGCTGAGGCTCTTTCCTGGTTTTATGATTTTTTGTTATTGGTATTCCACATCATAACATCATGTAGAACACTGGGAGTTAAAGAGTTAAAGCTCCAATTCCGTGGACTGCCGATTTTTCCGGGTACTCAGTTCTCAGAAGAGAAGAACTACATACCCCAGAGAAATTTTGTTTCTGTTTTCCTTTCAGAGGGATTTGCCACCATCCATGAATCAGTGTAAAGATAGAGCATTGGCCACCTCTCCCGTTCAGCAACATCTAAGGCCAGTTGGACAGCCTTTACCTCTGCAAATTGACTTGATTCTCCTTTCCCTTCAGTGGCCTCTGCAACTTGTCGATGCTTCCCCACAATACGACACAATCCATCTGTGAACAGGGCATATTTCTTTTCATTCTCTGGTAGTTCATTGCAAGGTGGGGCCTCAATAGCACGAGCTACCTCTTCTCCTGGTGGTGTTCCAAACTTTTCACCTTCAGGCCAGTCCATGATCACCTCTAGGATTCCTGGACGGCTGAGGTTCCCCATCCGCGCTTGTTGTGTAATCAACGCAACCCACTTACTCCAAGTGGCATCAGTAGCATGATGGGTGGAGGGAACCTTTCCATTAAACATCCAGTTCAGCACTGGCAGTCGAGGTGCCAGAAGGAGCTGTGTTTCAGTACCGACTACTTCAGAAGCAGCCCGAACCCCCTCATAAGCGGCTAAGATCTCCTTTTCAGTTGGAGTGTAGCGCTCTTCAGACCCTCTGTACGCCCGACTCCAAAATCCCAGTGGTTGGCCTTGGGTCTCTCCTGAGGCTCTTTGCCACAAACTCCAAGTGGGACCGTTCTCTCAAGTAGCAGTGTAGAAAATGTTCTTTACATCTTGTCCCGTCTGTACTGGCCCCAGGGCCACAGCATGGGCTATCTCCTGCTTATTCTGCTCAAAAGCCTGATGCTGCTCAGGACCCCACTCAAAACTGTTCTTCACTGTGTCACCTGTTAAAGTGGGCTTACAATGAGGCTGTAGTTTGGAACATGCATTCTCCAAAAACCCACTACGCCCAGAAACGATTGTGTCTCTTTCTTATTAGTGGGGGGAGACATGGCAGTGATTTTGTCGATCACATCTGTCGGGATGTGATGACGGCCATCTTGCCACTTTATGCCTAGGAACTGAATCTCCTGGGCAGGTCCTTTCACTTTGCTTCGCTTAATAGCAAAACCAGCACTCAGAAGAATTTGGATCGTTCGCTCTCCTTTTGTAAAGACTTCTTCTGCTGTATCACCCCACACAATGATGTCATCAATGTACTGCAGGTGCTCAGGAGCACTGCCCTGTTCCAGTACAGTTTGGATCAACCCATGGCAAATGGTCGGGCTGTGTTTCCACCCCTGGGGCAAACGGTACCAGGTATACTGAATGCCCCTCCAGGTGAAAGCAAACTGTGGCTTACATTCTTTGGCCAAAGGAATGGAAAAGAAGGCATTAGCAATGTCAATGGTGGCATACCACTTAGCTGCTTTTGATTCCAGTTCATGCTGGAGTTCTAACATGTCCGGCACAGCAGCACTCAGTGGGGGTGTGACTTCATTCAGGCCTCGGTAATCTACCATCAGCCTCCATTCTCCACTGGCTTTACGCACTGGCCATATGGGGCTGTTAAAAGGCGAGTGAGTTTTGCTGATCACTCCCTGGCTCTCTAGTTGACAAATTAACTTATGAATGGGGAGCAAAGAATCCCTGTTGGTGCGGTACTGCCGCCTGTGCACCGTTTTTGTAGCAATTGGTACCTGTTGCTCTTTTACTCGCAGCAGCCCCACAACAGACGGATCTTCTGACAGGCCAGGCAAAACAGACAGCTGCTTAATGTTGTCTGTGTCCACAGCAGCTATTCCAAAGGCCCATCGATACCCCTTAGGATCCTTGAAATGCCCCCTTCTGAGATAATCAATACCTAGTATACATGGAGCCCCTGGGCCCGTCACAATAGGATGTTTTTGCCAGTCCTTACCAGTGAGGCTTATCTCAGCCTCCAACACAGTCAATTCTTGAGAGCCCCCGGTCACTCCAGAAATATGGATTGATTCTGTCCCTTGGTGACTCGAGGGCATCAGAGTGCACTGTGCACCAGTGTCCACCAGGGCCTTATATTTCAGTGGTTCTGATGTGCCAGGCCATCGAATCCACACAGTCCAATATACTCTATTATCCCTTTCCCCCCCCCCGAGTGAGGGCAGGGCCCCTCTATTCATTACCTGCCTTGTAATTCTCTCACTCGGGCTTGTAGTACAGGAGTAGGTTCACAGTACCACTTCCTCATGTCTTCTCCATGGTCACATAGGTAATACCATAAGGCAATTTGCGGTGTATTATCCCTTACTTGAGCCGGAGAGCGTTTGCCTCTAACAGCTGAGATTTTTGATGGTGCACGTGAGAAGGAAGGTTCATCGTCTTTAGTTAGGTGGGCTCGCATAAATTTCATCATCTCCTTCATCTCCTTCGCTAGACTCATTTGATTATCCTGATCTTCATCAAGCATCTCTGATACTGCTACAGGCTTTTGATACTGTGCCCCATGACATCCTTATAACAAAGCTGAGGAAGTGTGGGATAGATGTGTGGACAGTGAGGTGGGTTGAGAACTGGCTGACTGGCAGAGTGCAGAGGGTCGTCGTTGGCGGTGCAGAGTCAGGTTGGAGGCCTGTAATTAGCGGTGTTCCTCAGGGGTCGGTGCTGGGTCCGGTCTTGTTCAACATCTTCATCAATGACCTTGATGAGGGGATGGTGGCCACCCTCAGCAAGTTTGCTGATGATACGAAGTTGGGAGGATTGGCTGACACGCCTGAAGGCTGTGCTGCCATTCAGCGAGACCTGGACAGGCTGGAGAGCTGGGCAGAAAAAAACCGGATGAGGTTTAACAAAAGTAAGTGTAGAGTCTTGCATCTGGGGAGGAATAATTGCATGCACGGGTACAGGTTGGGGGATGACCTGCTGGAGGGGAGCTCTGCGGAGAGGGACCTAGGTGTCCTGGTGGATGACAGGTTGGCCATGAGCCAGCAGTGTGCCCTTGTGGCCAAGAGGGCCAATGGCATTCTGGGGTGCATTAAAAAGAGCGTGTCCAGCAGGTCGAGGGAGGTGATCCTCCCCCTCTACTCTGCCCTGGTGAAGCCTCATCTGGAGTACTGCGTCCAGTTCTGGGCTCCCCAGTACAAAAAAGACAGGGATCTCTTGGAAAGAGTCCAGCGGAGGGCCACAAAGATGGTGAAGGCCCTGGAGCATCTCTGCAATGAGGAAAGGCTGAGTGAACTGGGTCTGTTCAGCCTTGAGAAAAGAAGACTGAGAGGGGACCTGATCCAGGTAAATAAATATCTGAGGTGTGGGGGGCAGAATGGCGAGGCCGGACTCTTTTCAGTGATGAGTGGAGACAGGACAAGGGGAAACGGCCGGAAACTGCAGCATAGGAAGTTCTGCACAAATGTGCGCAAGAACTTCTTTACAGTGAGGTGACGGAACACTGGAACAGGCTGCCCAGGGAGGTGGGGGAGTCTCCTGCTCTGGAGATGTTCAAGACCTGCCTGGATGCCTACCTGTGCGACCTGCTGTAGGGAACAGCTTTGGCAGGGGGTTGGACTCGATGATCTCTGGA